AGGGAGTCGTAGGGAGAGAGGGAAGAAAGGGTTTGGTTGCAAAGAGAGGGAAGAAAAGGTTTGGTTGCAGAGAGAAGGGAGTCGTAAGGAGAGAGGGAAGAAAGGGTTTGGTTGCAGAGAGAGAGAGAAGAAATGGTGGGTGGGTCCCACCCCTCTGTTTATTAAAATGATTTTTTTTTCATTTTATATGTCATACTATTGTATTTTATAGTATTTAATTATTTTTAACATATGAAATGACCAATTTGCCCTCATATTTAACGACAAATTGGATGAAATGTTGATGATTTAGACGGCAGGGGGAACATTGATAATAAAATTTAATTCGAGCCCTTAATTCGCTAAAAAAAAAAGTCAAGGGGTAAATTGATAGTTATGTACAAGTTTATGGGGCAATTCGGCAGTATACCCTTAATTGAAAATATTAATAGAAAATAAGATCAAATTTGAATGATTAGGGTTTGTAGGGGCCTTTTTCTTCCGGCAGCAAGTGGGCTGGGCTGATGAAATTGTCCCCTTTGTCCGAGTTTGAAAATTAAGCCCCAAAATGCTTCGAAAGGGCAGCAAGGCCTTAGGAAGTATTTTGGTTACCTTCACCAACCGAAACAGCAGCAACTTACAGATGACTTCTTCAGGCTTGCAGATAAACTTTTGGGCTTGGCATGAGAGGCATGTGGCATGGGAGCAAAATTATCATGGGTTTAGCACTTTATGAGAGGGAGAGTTGTGGGTTCCTATGAAGGTTAGGGGTTCTAATGGAAGGGAAGAGAGGTTCTAAGGAGGATTGGGGGAGAATTTTGGGTGATTTTCGTAGCTTATGGCAGCTTGACAGTGACTCTGTCCAAGCTTCTGTCAATCTGCCAAAACAGGGGAAGTAAGGGAAAATGGGTAAGGATAGCACGAAAATTGCTGGGTTTGCAAGTGAGAGAGAAAGCTTGCTCTCTAAAGTTTGTGAGTTGTGTTGTGTTGGGTAGAAGAGGCCCTATTTATTGTTGCTTGGAATGGGTCTTCTCCAAGAAACCCTAATGGTTTACTCCTAATCCAACTAAGCTTTCCTCTTCCTTTCTTCTCCTCTTTCTTGACTTTCCTCATGGTGGCAAAAATCAGTTATGCTCAATCCCACAAAATCAGAGATTTTTGGGAGCTCCAAGTTTCCTTCGACGGCTGCTTCAGAGGAGAGCTTCCATTTTTCCCATCTTTTTTCTCTTCTTTCTTCCCCTTTTCATGGCCAAATCTGATGAAGGAAAGGAAATAAGCATGCCTGCTGGTTTGAAAAGTGGCATCTTCTCCTACGTGCTAATACCCCTTGGTTTCTTTGGATGCTTGCACTTGGGATTCATTCTCCCAGAAGCCTCCTCACACGTGAATCCTTGGCCTCTTCGTGGTCTTTTGTTTCAGCCAAGTGCTGATGGCCTTGGCTTCCCCTTATTCAAATGGTTGGGCTTTTTAATATAGAAAACCAAGCCATTTTACTAAGTGGGCTAATTTCACCAAATATTTGGGCTTTTATGGGCTATCTAAAGGAATGGATTATTTTGGTTGGGCTATCCTAGTTGAGGTAATGGGCTATTTCCTCTCTTGTGCTTACCCACCTTTGGGTCTAAGAAATGGGCTTGAGTCCCGAGGCCCCCAAGCGACCCGAGACTTCCATTTCTTGACTCATCAATGGGCCCCATGACAATTTGTTACCATCCATACCACAATCCCACTCAAGCAAGCCCCGGGCATTTGAGTGGCTTGGGCCCACTTAAGCTTGTTGTGGGATAATAATTTCCCGCCTGGCATGGCATGTCGCTTGGCGTGCTTTTTTAAGTATGATGCTTGATAGGATAATTGGCACGAATTTGCAGTGCTAAATGCATTCTTACAATTTTAATCTCAGCTTCTATCATGATAGATTTCTATTTTGGCGCGGCATGTAGGATATGGCTCGTGCATGGCAGACTTCTGTGTACTTCAAATTGAGTCTTTTTCCAATAATATATCGTCTTGGGCCGGGAATTTGTTCAGGCCCAACCATGGATTTTTTGGGCCTCAACAAGGTTTTTATTTTTATTTGTATAAAACATCAAATTTCATGACACCATGAAAGGGCCGCCTAAATAAGCATTTGAAAGCACAACCCTAACATAGGAGGGTTCTTACAAGGAAAAATTGAACAGACAGTGATCAAAAGTCGTACACAAAACTCAAATAGAAGAAGGAAAGAAGATATACGGGGAGGATGAGTTCCCGTTGCCGCCAATAGAAACTGTTATCTGTGGCTATGGTAGGGGATGAGGTAGGGTTGGTGTCTATTTGGGAATGTAGTTAGGTCTGTGAATGTTTAAAATATATATATATATATATATATAGTCCCCTGTGAAATGTGTTTGGAAGAGCTTCTAAAATGGCTTTTGTCATTGCCGGATCCTGATCAGTAATAATAATTTTCGGAGCATCACCTGGCATAGGCCTAAAAAATTCTCTAAACAACCAAATGAAGGAGTCTGCAGTCTCGTCACTTAAGAATGCCCCAGAAAAAATAATTGTCTGACCATAGTTGTTTACTCCAGCGTACGTCGTTCCCAAGCATAAGTGGAGTTTGTGGCG